GAATGGTTCTGGAAAACCACCATGCGGAATACCGATGTAACCCTGTAGGTACTCAATCACCGACTTGGGAAAAGAAAGTTCCTCCGCTTTCTCCACGACTTGATCGCCAGTTAGTTTGTTCTGTACCATAAACTGTGCCAAATCGCCGACAACCTTGGATGATGGAGTAACCTTTATTATGTCGCCCAGCACAATATTGGCTTCTCGGTAGGCTTTCTTCACATCCTCAAACAAATCACCCAGGCCAAGTGAAAACGATTGGAATTGCAGATTGGTATATTGGCCACCGGGTATTTCGTTCAAATAGACATCAGCATTGCCCGAACGCATCGTAGTGGTGCATTCGAACGGTCCGTAGAGAGTGCGGGTTTGCTCCCAGTATGCCGAATACTCGGAGACGTCATTCAAGTCCAATTTTGTATCCAAAGGTGTGCCTTGCAGCGAGGCTACAACAGCTCCCATGCTTGGCTGTGAGGTCATTCCAGACATGGAGTCGACAGCAACGTCAACAACATCTGCTCCGGCTTGCGCGCAAGCAAGCATAGATGCAACACCAGCGCCCGAAGTGTCATGGGTATGGACATGAATTGGAACGTCTGGGTGCTTGTCTCGGATGGCAGTGATCAGCAACCTGCAATTAAATATACGCAAGTTACTGACTGACTGGTGATCAACCCACACGGGCATGTAGGAAATTCCACCCGCAAACGTGGAATTATCATGGTGTAAAAGACGGAAAATGGTTTTTCATTTTTCGCAGCCGCACGGTTTCACAATCTTTCAAATCGTTCACCTATTGAAATATCGATATATTCCTTCGGTTTTCATCGATATATCAATTACATTTACAGTGTTGTATATGTGATAACTTATTTAACAGTACATATGTTCGAATTTGAATTCAAATTATTCCAAATATTACAATGGGAAACGATTTAACGGCTTACCATTCGACCGGTTTCTAACTCATAACTAAATATGATTATGAAAATTAATTTTATAGGTGTTTCATCCTACTTCAGGACGATGTTATACAGGGGAAAATGAGAATTTCAACTGAATTTCAAATTCCTATCTAAAATATGACTATATGTGAAGTCGGGATATGTTTAATCGTACCTTGCTGCCTCTGGCTTCAGTAGACCCGCCATGTCCTTAATGCACAGCACATGAGTTCCGGCTTTCACCAGCTCATCAGCCAAGTTGGTATAGTATTTAAGATCAAACTTGGTCTTCTTGGGATCGCTTACATCGCCTGAGTAAGAGATGGCCGCCTCTACAACTCCGCCGGCTTTACCGGCCGCCTCCATACCCAGGATCAAATTCGGCAAATAGTTGAGGGAGTCAAACACTCGGAAAATATCCATGCCAGTTTGCACCTAACCAAAAAAGGACAAATGTTTCTTATTAGAGCCGTGTTGTAATGATTTAACATTCGGTTTAAAATCCAGTTTAATCTGTACGTACCGCTAGCTCGCAGAACTTGTAGACTACGTTGTCGGGATAACTGGTGTAGCCAACGGCATTGGCGCCACGCAATAACATCTGGAATGGTATGTTCGGAATGCGCTTGCGCATCTCCTCCAAGCGCTCCCAAGGGCACTCGTGCAGGAATCGCAGTGCCACGTCGAATGTGGCTCCACCCCAATTCTCCAGTGAATACAGATTACTGAACTTGTGCGCCACGTATGGTGATATTTTTAGCAAGTCATGTGTGCGGACACGCGTGGCCATCAGCGACTGATGTGCGTCTCGAAACGTGGTGTCCATGAGCAGTAAATTCTTTCGCGAACGCACCTCCTTGGCAAATGCCTCGGGTCCTAGACATGTAATGAAGTCACGCAGACCTTCTGGCGGGTCGGTCCCTGTGAAGAGCCCGATTGTGTTGGATATTTTAAATTTAAGTTAAATGTTTGCCACATTAGGGGCATTAAATCTTCGGCGTGCCGAGAATATTCTTACTTTCTCTTAACTCATTTTTAGTGGGTTCAGGGTATATTGGTTAAGGGTCGCGAGCTAATAAGAATAATTCTATATTTATATTCAGAAATTCGGACAATGCGAACAGTTAACTTAAACAACAGAATGAATAAAATTACTTACCAACTGGTGTTTCGGGTACATGAGGATGAATCGCGGACGGCTTAAGCGTTGTAGCCAATGGCGTTTGTGGTCCGTTTACCAACACTTCACCCAAGTAAGTTAAAAGTTTTTGGGCACGATTTGGCGAGGCAGTGAATTGAAATAGGTCCGGATGCTCATCTATGAAATATGTATCTAGTACACCGTTCAAGAATTTCTCGTTCTCAAGAACATTCAAGAGAAATGGGATATTCGTTTTGACACCGCGAATACGGAACTCCCGCAATGATCGGTCCATTTTTGACGCTGCACTTTTCAGATCACTGGCATGGGATATCACCTTGACAAGAAGCGAGTCATAATAGGGCGATATGATGGCTCCAGCATAGGCCGAGGCGCTATCTATACGAATACCCATGCCTTCGCCCGAACGGAAAACTTCTATACGTCCAGTGTTAGGTTGAAAGTCGTGGGCAGGATCCTCTGCAGTCACACGACACTGAATGGCAACGCCACGGGGAACAATACGTTCCTGTGTGAGTCCCAGTTCGTCAAGTGTCATACCTTCGGCAATACGTATCTGAGCCTGAACCAGGTCTATTCCGGTAATCTCCTCAGTTACCGTGTGCTCCACCTGCAACCTGGCGTTCACTTCAATGAAGTAGAACTCTCCACGCTCGTCGCATAGGAACTCCACAGTGCCAGCGTTCTCGTATCCCACATGCCGGGCTAACCGTAATGCTGCATCGGTTATCTTATCCCGGATTTCTTCAGCAAGGTGTGGGGCAGGGGCGATCTCAACGACTTTTTGGTGCCGTCGCTGTACGGAGCAGTCGCGTTCATATAGATGTACAACATTTCCAGCCTTGTCACCTAACACTTGAATTTCAACGTGGCGTGGACGCTCAATAAATTTCTCAATGAACATTTCTCCGTTTCCGAAAGATGCCAATGCCTCGTGGCTTGCACGTTCAAAACTCTCTTCGACTTCCTCCATTTTTTCTACAACACGCATGCCACGGCCTCCGCCGCCGTGCGCTGCTTTGAAGATGACAGGAAGTCCATGTTTTTCACAGAAAGATAATGCTTCTTCTTTGGATGTAACTGCTCCAATTGATCCTGGCACAATGGGAACATCTGCTTCACCCGCCGCTTTGCGAGCAGCCATTTTGTCTCCCATGTTCTGAACCACCTCAGGCGTTGGACCAATAAACCGAATTCCAGCATCGATAACAGCCTGTGCAAAATCACTGCGTTCGGAAAGGAAACCGTAGCCGGGATGCACTGCGTCAATGTCGTTCTCCTTACAAACGCGAATGATCTCTGGAATGCTCAGGTAAGCTTCTACCGGTGCAAGGCCTTTGCCGACCAAATAGGACTCGTCGGCCTTCAGACGATGCATGTGCATTTTGTCCTGCTCCGAGTACACGGCCACAGACTTAATGCCAAGCTCAGAGCAGGCGCGAAATACGCGTATCGCTATTTCGCCTCGGTTGGCTACCAGCACCGACCGTATGGGTTTGTGCTCTGCCTGTTAACAGAGTTTTCGCCTCACTATAAACTCAGTATAATCTGCTTTCAATATACTTACTTGACAACAGTAGGTATTTTTTAGAAAATGGTAAAGCTTCAAGCGAGGACCGGGTTTGCACAGCGTCTTCAATGCGGGCGAAGAATCCGACATTACCATCGTGGTTCCTTATGGTTTATTAAGTTTGTTTTTAAGCAACTTAAATACTTATATAAATGTATTTTTATTGCTATAATATGTATATATATATATATTATTGCTAATATATATATGCATATATTTATTGCTAATATATTAATATGCATATATACATATATCTGACTGACTGACTTATTGACTGACTGATTGGGAACAGGAGGGGGGAGCTGGGAGGCAGACACGTTCACCGTAGTTACTTTATGTGATGAAGGGGCACGTTAAGATGGGGTTTCGGGAACTTCCACCCGCAAGTGTGGGAAAATCGCGAAAAAGTTGGTATGAAACTTCTTTGTCTACCATCCGATCGGTCTCAAACTAAATTTCAAAGTTCTTTGTTCGTATTCATTTGAGGGATGTTTCAGGCTTTTTGGAAAATCAATCGCCCCTTGGTGGAAATGGGGTCAGGGATTTGGTGGGTGACTTTTCGCGCTTAAATTCATTTCTGAGTATCCATAAGAAAAAGCATTTGATACATGTCTCACATTTTCCGCAAAATCAAAGCATGCTCGATAAAACGTGCAATTCAAAGATTTTTTTGGTGACATTATTTTACATTTATTTTAGAAGTTCTACATAAAAACCCTATGAATACGTGTTTCAACGATTTGGGGAATTCCACTCGCAACAGTGGTAAATTGGCGGAAAACGTTTGTATGAAAGTTGTTTGCTTACCGTCCGATCAGTTTCGAAATCATTTTCCAAGCTTTTTGAGAACATTGAATTTATGACATATGTGCCACGATCAAGGCCGGGCTATACCCATACCATATATAAACAATTCGACGACTTCGATATGATAATTTTACCGTTTAAGTAAAAACATGTAGGTGCCACAAACCTTTTAAAAACAATGTCACCAAAACCTAAAATTTTGTTGCTTAATCTCTATGTTCTTAAGAAAATGTTCTTTGAAAATTTAAAAGGTGTATTTAAAATTTGTAATAATAATTGTGCCGGACGTATGAATGAACAAAAAATCGAATTTTGACTACATCTACAGTCATCGTGACAAAAAAACCAACGAAATGTTGTATTAGGAAATATATTTACAATGGTTTAGAGCGGAGTTTCGAATTGTTATGGTAAAGGGTAAGGGTAAGGGGTTTTTGGTTTTAATATATAATACATGAAATTGATTTGGTGTATTATTATGTGATTTCTCGCACGTTAAATTCGATTTAGAAAACAATTCTTATGAAATTTCATTGTTTATTCACACTTTTACATTTGATAATCATATTTTAACATTGATACAAAGTTTGGCAAAGGCTTTTCTAATACAAACTAAAAATTGATGTTTAACAACAATTGTTTGTGCGTGACTTTTTACTGTAACAAGATTGTAAACCCTTTCAAAAAGTAGTGCCAATATACACACGTATATACACATGTACTCATGTAAACATAAATACATAAAAATGAAAAGACTTAAGACTATAAATTTGTTGGCAGCATGAACAGATGACAGCACGCTCTTTAAACATAAACATTTGGACGTCTTTACCATGGACTGCATTTATTCAATGATCAGAATTAAGTCATCGCCGTCCAGTTTCATGCCTTTCTTGACTTCCACTTTCTTGACAACACCGGATTGCGGCGCCTGGACCACCATCTCCATTTTCATGGCCGAAAGCACAACAAGAGGCTGGCCCTTTTCGACTTTATCGCCAATGGTGACGCGCACGTCTATAACATCGCCTGGCATGGGGGCGCCCACTTCACCTTTCACCGTCTTATCTGCCTTAGGATGGATACGGATTTCCTGAAAAGAAACGTGAGCATTGTAAATGATATGTTACAGATAGATAGCCATGGGTACCTACCTTCATAGCCTCCTTATCGGGAATGTGGACGGAGCGCAGTTGTCCGTTTAATTCGAAGAACACCTCGCGTTTTCCATTAGTTTTGAGATCGGCAGCCATGGCCAAGGCCTTCACGCTCAGAGTCTTGCCACGCTCCAGAGTCACATCGAATTCTTCGCCCACTTTGGGGCCGGTGAGGAATATGCGAGTGTCGAGCTTATCGACGGGACCGAATTGTTCACGGTAATGCAGGAATTCATTGGTCACTTGCGGATAGAGAGCGGCCGATACGACATCGCGGTCGCTTACGTTTCCGTGAGATTCACGCAGCTCTTTTTTCAGCTTGTCAAAGTCCAATGGAGCCATCTCAGCACCTGGTCGGCCTTCAATGCGTGGCATATCCTTCAAAACACGCGACCGGAATGGTTCTGGAAAGCCGCCATACGGAATACCGATGTAGCCCTGTAGGTACTCAATCACCGATTTGGGAAAAGAAAGTTCCTCCGCTTTCTCCACGACTTGAGCGCCAGTTAGGTTGTTCTGTACCATAAACTGTGCCAAATCGCCGACAACCTTGGATGATGGAGTAACCTTTATTATGTCGCCCAGCACAATATTGGCTTCTCGGTAGGCTTTCTTCACATCCTCAAACAAGTCACCCAGGCCGAGTGAAAACGATTGGAATTGCAGATTGGTATATTGGCCACCGGGTATTTCGTTCAAATAGACATCAGCATTGCCCGAACGCATCGTAGTGGTACATTCGAACGGTCCGTAGAGAGTGCGGGTTTGCTCCCAGTATGCCGAATACTCGGAGACGTCATTCAAGTCCAATTTTGTATCCAAAGGTGTGCCTTGCAGCGAGGCTACAACAGCTCCCATGCTTGGCTGTGAGGTCATTCCAGACATGGAGTCGACAGCAACGTCAACAACATCTGCTCCGGCTTGCGCGCAAGCAAGCATAGATGCAACACCAGCGCCCGAAGTGTCATGGGTATGGACATGAATTGGAACGTCTGGGTGCTTGTCTCGGATGGCAGTGATCAGCAACCTGCAATTAAATATACGCAAGTTACTGACTGACTGGTGATCAACCCACACGGGCATGTAGGAAATTCCACCCGCAAACGTGGAATTATCATGGTGTAAAAGACGGAAATGGTTTTTCATTTTGATTATGAAAATTAGTTTTGTAGGTGTTTCATCCTACTTCATGACTATGTTATACTGTTTTACAACTGAATTTCATGTACCTATCTAAAATATGACTATATGTGAAGTCGGGATATGTTTAATCGTACCTTGCTGCCTCTGGCTTCAGTAGACCCGCCATGTCCTTAATGCACAGCACATGAGTTCCGGCTTTCACCAGCTCATCAGCCAAGTTGGTATAGTACTTCAGATCGTACTTAGTCCTCTTGGGATCACTTACATCACCTGAGTAGGAGATGGCCGCCTCTACAACTCCGCCGGCCTTACCTGCAGCCTCCATGCCGAGGATCAAATTCGGCAAATAGTTGAGGGAGTCAAACACTCGGAAAATATCCATGCCAGTTTGCACCTAACCAAAAAAGGACAAATGTTTCTTATTAGAGCCGTGTTGTAATGATTTAACATGCGGTTTAACATGCAGTTTAATCTGTACGTACCGCTAGCTCGCAGAACTTGTAGACTACGTTGTCGGGATAACTGGTGTAGCCAACGGCATTGGCGCCACGCAATAACATCTGGAATGGTATGTTCGGAATGCGCTTGCGCATCTCCTCCAAGCGCTCCCAAGGGCACTCGTGCAGGAATCGCAGTGCCACGTCGAATGTGGCTCCACCCCAATTCTCCAGTGAATACAGATTACTGAACTTGTGCGCCACGTATGGTGATATTTTTAGCAAGTCATGTGTGCGGACACGCGTGGCCATTAGCGACTGATGTGCGTCCCGAAACGTGGTGTCCATGAGCAGTAAATTCTTTCGCGAACGCACCTCCTTGGCGAAAGCGTCGGGACCTTCGCGCACGATGATGTCGCGGAGGCCTTGTGGGGGCTCTGTCACTGTGGGAATCCCCCATAAATTTGGCTCTTAGTTTGAGGTTATGTATAATTTATCGATACATGCATGTTAAGATAAATCAAGCTCAGATTATTTACAAGTAAACGGAAAATGTTTAACTTTCATCCACCGTGTTTTACCAAAACTCAACAAACAAATCGATATACATACATACGTGTACATACGATCATATACATACATACATACATATGTGTATATAAATTCGGGTTTTCTTGAAGGTAGCATGTTGGTGATAACATATTAACTTAACGCTGTTCGATATTGACAACAATGAATGACAATGAGAGGGTCTCGCTTTTACTCTTCTCTCCTATATCAATAAGGCATACAAATTGCATATTAAGTAAATATTTCTTTAATTAGCATCAACAGTTGAGTCGATCTACGCATATCGGTCCTCGATTTTAGCGAATTTAAATATTTGTATACAAGCTTTTATCTATATTTATCTTTATCTGCCTTACCTCATTTTTGCGAAATTCTTAAATAGTAATTAAGGGACCGAAAACCTTTTTTATACTCTACTCTATACATCTAAAAATGTTTATACAGTCCCTTTCAACTGTGCTATTTTATATGATGTAAGTGGCAAAGGATCTCTCCATACATATAAGACGAGAGCGATCAGCTTAAAAACTGATTACTTTGAATTATTCCACCCGGAAAAAACAACAAGCGTTACATATTTTGAGGAGCAAATTAAAATAAACTCTAAAAGGGCATAAAATAGAAAGCTTATCAATATTTGGCTGGTATACATTTGAAAAGAAAATACGAAAAGCAGTAAATATGTACATATAACATAAAATAAACAGAAACATACAAAGAGGTGCTCATGTGTACATCTACTGGTTAAGTACTTCCTACCTAAGCCTGAAAACTAAGCCAGTTAAATCCCAAAATTCCCATTTGTATTCACCATGAACCGAAGCTTCAATCGGATTATTTGCATTGAAAATAACTTGGCGTAAATTATTAATTTTTGTTTTAAATGCGGGGAATAGTGAAAATTCATATATTCAGCGAACTCGGCTTCGAACCCTGAACCGAAATACGGAAAATTATAGTGTTAAAATGAGGGAATTTGAAACTCCGAAGATTTTAATGTTAAAGTGAGGGAATTCGAGACTCCGAAGATTGTAATGTTAAAGTGAGGCAATTGAAGACTCCGAAAATTGTAATGTTAATGTTAGGCAATTGGAGACTCCGAAAATTGTAATGTTAATCTAAGGCAGCTAGCCAAGAACCGGAAATAATCTAATTACCTTGTCCAAATACTATGATATCCATAATATTCTAATAGGCGTATACTATATGTATGTGAGATAGTCGGGATCTGAGCTTATAAGACAATTGTATGTACATATGAATTAAACTGTTGACATTATCTGATGAGAAATAAAGAAGTGCAACTTAAACGTACCTTTTGCCCCGCCGCGCTTTTCACGTTCTAAGGCTTCCGGGGACAGGTCTTCATTCGTATGATAATCATGACAACATTTCGTTTATGAACAAGGTGTAGCACGTGTGTTTGTGTAGTTGTTGTTGTTGTTGGAACATAAGTAGATGTGTGCGTGTGTGTGTGTGTGTTTTGTAGTTTTTGGGACGATTGCGTTTGCATATGGAGTTTGTTTCAATTGCAAATTTGATAAGAAATAAAGTAAAAAGAAATGCAAGAACATAAAGTAAACATATTAATGAACGCATAAAAACAAGACAGAGCACCTAACTTCGGCACACGACATTTAAATGACCCTTGCAAACTGATTAAATATAAGATATTGCTTCTGACATTTCTGCTTATAAAAGTTTTCGATTCGAATCAAAATATGCCAAATTATTTAATTCAATTAAATTGGCGTGAGCTAGCTTCTATAATATACTCAAATAGATTCTTTTCTTTCGTGTTTAATCATCATATTTTAAGAAACAATATAAGAAGCCCTGCCTTTATATGATTGATTGATATTATTGAACTCTTTATTTAGACATGTCATAGAAATCTCATTACCCTTTAAAAATGTTCCTCGGTTCCACAAAAGTATTAATTTCGAAAATCTATAATGACTCGAGCATAATAATATCTAATAAAATCATTCAATAGATCTCTATAATTTATAAAATTTGATGCATTAACAATATCTAATAGAATCATTCTATATAAATATCTAAGGCGTAAATAGATCTCTATAATTTTTCAAATTTCATGCATAATAATATTTAATATAATCACTCTACATTAATATCTAAGGCTAATTTACGCAAATGCATCACATTACAATAATGTCTTACTATACAAATCGACTGAAACGCAACAGAAATATTATTCTGTGGCATCTGCTAACTGAACTGGCAAACTTTTCTATAAACGTTGTCAAAGCCCTATTGTTTATGGCATATGGAACCTTGCGAGCGGCACAGGTTAAAAGGTTAAGAACACAAAAAATAAGTTTCCAATTTTATGGAAGAAACTTATGAGCAACAATCATTTGTCGAATGGTGTGTGCTTGGGCCAAGATAGAAGGCAAAGACGCAAAGCTGAAACAATTAGGTAAAGCAACAGCCATTTGGTAGCCACAAATCCGAAAGAAACGCACATGCCATAGACCATGGATCAAAACAAGTTGACTTACCCAACGGTACCTCGGGCACATGTGGATTCACCTCAGCGGGCTTTAGTGTTGTGGCCAAAGGCGTCTGGGGTCCGTTGACCAACACTTCACCCAGATAATTCAAAAGTTTTTGGGCACGATTCTGTGTGGTCGTAAATTTGAACAGCTGCGGATGTTCATCTATGAAGTATGTGTCCAACACACCGTGCAAAAACTTCTGGTTCTCGAGCACGTTTAGCAAAAAGGGAATATTCGTCTTGACGCCGCGGATACGGAATTCTCGGAGTGCTCGGTTCATTTTCGCGGCTGAGCTCTGCAGATCACTGGCATGGGATATCACCTTGACGAGGAGCGAGTCATAGTAGGGCGATATGATGGCTCCAGCGTAGGTCGAGGCGCTGTCCAGACGTATACCCATGCCCTCGCCCGAACGGAAAACTTCCAGACGTCCAGTGTTGGGTTGGAAGTCGTTGGCAGGATCTTCGGTGGTCACGCGACACTGAATGGCAAAGCCACGGGGAACAATATTTTCCTGCGTGAGTCCCAGCTCCTTAAGCGTCATGCCTTCGGCAATACGTATCTGAGATTGAACCAGATCAATGCCGGTAAACTCCTCGGTCACCGTGTGCTCCACCTGCAACCTGGCGTTCACTTCAATGAAGTAGAAGTTTCCAGATTCGTCGCAGAGGAACTCCACAGTGCCCGCGTTCTCGTATCCCACATGCCTGGCTAACCGTACTGCCGCCTCCGTCATCTTATCTCTGATCTCTATAGGAAGGCGTGGGGCAGGGGCGATCTCAACGACTTTTTGATGCCGACGCTGGACGGAGCAGTCGCGTTCGTATAGATGTACAACATTTCCGGCCTTATCACCCAACAGTTGGACTTCAATGTGGCGTGGACGTTCAATGAATTTCTCAATGAACATTGCTCCGTTGCCGAAAGCTGCCTTTGCCTCGGAGCTGGCGCGTTCAAAATTCTCTTCGACTTCCTCCATTTTGCGCACAACACGCATGCCACGGCCTCCGCCGCCATACGCTGCTTTGAAGATCACGGGTAGTCCATGTTTTTGGCAAAAAGACAACGCTTCTTCTTTAGAAGTTACTGGCCCATCTGTTCCCGGCACAATAGGTACCCCAGCCTCGATAGCCGCAACGCGCGCAGCCACCTTGTCGCCCATGTTTTGGACCACCTTTGGCGATGGGCCAATAAACCGAAGCCCAGCATCGATAACGGCCTGTGCAAAATCACTGCGTTCGGAGAGGAAACCGTAGCCGGGATGCACTGCGTCAATGTCGTTCTCCTTGCAAACGCGAATGATCTCTGGAATGTTCAGATATGCTTCCACCGGTGCAAGGCCCTTGCCGACCATATAGGACTCGTCGGCCTTCTGACGATGCATGTGCATTTTGTCCTGCTCCGAGTACACGGCCACAGACTTGATGCCAAGTTCCGTGCAGGCGCGAAACACGCGTATCGCTATTTCGCCACGGTTGGCTACCAGCACCGACCGTATGGGTTTGTATTCCACCTGTAGGTTGAGAACTTGCCAATTAACGTCAGCTTAAAATATTTCATATTTGACATACCTGAGTGGAGTAGGCATTCTTGTTAATAAAGTAAAGCCTCACTCTAGGGATCGCTTTGCGCAGCGTCCTGAATGCTGCTTGAGATTCCGGCAGGAACATTGTAGACGTTATTTATTTGCCTGTGGACGAGACTACAGAATATATAGAATTGCATTAAAAAGCGAATAAATCATATCGGAGCCCATAAATTGTATATAATCTTGAACCGAAATTGACTTGAATTCAAGGCCTTGAGCTTAATCGAATTAAATTGAATGCCAAAAAGAACTCTGCTCCCTTCTCTTAAAGAAAATTTGAGCAAATCTTATCATGGAAAACTGTTCGTACGTTTCCACAACAATAATTAGTTTGGACATTAACAACAGGTCAAACAGGAAAAACTATGTTTAATATAAGCTCAACATTATCATTATTGTCAACATTATTAATTTTAACGTGGGGCGAAGTGTTAATAAACATGCTTATCTTCTCACTATCTCCAAATCCCTATCTGTCACTACAGTTCATATATATATATATATGTATACACGAGTATTTATTAACATATAACACATGTTCTGATACCTTTATACCTGCCTATTGATTCCTCTTTGGTTGTGGCCTGCTCGAACGAGTCGAAACTAGAACTTTGGAAAGTCAAATCTGCCCTTCTCTACGAACTCAGAGACATTTTATTCGAAATAAACGTTTTCCTATGCCATACGCAAAATGAGTCTATATCTTGTCACATTTCAAAATAAAGATAAAATCTATTTTGAGATCTTTTTTATCACGCTTTGTAGATGCCTCTGGCATTTCCCCTTAAAAATGTATGATTTGGCCCTTAAGATTTCATAAAGATCTTATTCAACTCTATCATATATCATACAAGAATAATGTTGCCAGCTTTAGATACCAAAATGATTGAATTAAATGTTTGTATGTATGTGTAAATATGTGTGTGTCTATGTATGCATGTAAGTTTTCTTCTATTCCAATAGCAGAACAATTTGCCTTGTTGCGCGGCAAATTTTAATAAGAAAACGTATTTATTAAAACTACCCTCCTCCTCGATTCTCAAAAATGTAAGTAAGGCCTGCAGGCTTCACCTATGAATTAGGCGCAGGCGGCTGAGGAGTCAGAGGAGGAGGCGTATGTATGTATGCATGTGTGTATGTATGTATGTATAAATATATATATATATATAGAGACAACCATCTGTACGTTTGCACACTTTTAACCGATTTTCATATAAAATTCTCTACTTCTATTCAAAGCTAATGATAAACACAACAAACATATCGGGCACAACCGTAGCTGTGATGAAGGGAATTATTTGTCTAAATTCATGGTTAGATATATTTTATAAAATCGCTTTCTATTGCTTAAAATATTTTGAGTAAGGTCAGGGTCATACATATAAAAATAGCTGTTATAATTGCAGTTTAAATAACAACATTGGCAGCTGTTTCAATAGTTAAAACCCCAAAGCTAACCTTCTTATTAGTCGCAAAAAAAAACACATGTTTGTATGTATGTACATGCAATAGGTATGTTTAATGTATAGAGCCACAAATGTGTAGCACGAATTTTAAAAGTTGTCTCTTAGCATCAAAATTTCAAAGTGTCTTGACCGACTAGATAATACACTGAACTGCGTGAACTACAGATCTAATAATTTGAATATTTGTTAAGTTCGTGCAAGCAGACTGATAATAATGTAGATTTAAATCCATTATAGTTTTTCACGAATTGCGTAACAAAGAGAAGAGAGTGTATATAAAAATCTGTTGCCATATACCTATACACCACTATATCATATATATATATCATATATTTTTATGATTTTTATGATTTCATTCTCATAACATGTCTGCAAGCTCGTTCTACTGCATAATATTGCGACTTGTTTTGGTCCAATTCGTTGAAAATTCGCTGCTTTTATTCAAAAGGGTATTTAAATAATCGGCGTGCCCGTCTTATGCTAATTTACTGTTACTTTTTAAAGCAACCGGCAAAGTATGCACATAGGCATAGAAAATAAAAGTATCTACTAGTCAAACACACACTGAACTAGTAGCTTATTGTCTCAATTCACTTTAGGATCAAAACCGACTAAAGCTGCGAAAAAAAACTTCCATAGTTTCCACTCCGTTAACACACCCAAACACACCTCGTTTTGTGGGGTCCTTTTTCCCCGAAAAGTCCGCAATTATTTGAAGAGCTTTCCCTTTGTTTACATACACATGTAAGCATAAGGCATGTTGGTTAAACAGTCAAAATAAATATACATATGTATATGTACTCACACATGCATATGCATGCATGTATTCATTTAAATGGACTGTTATGTATTCATACATGTTTGTATGTTCATATTAGCGCGTCGACCGACCGACCGATTAGGTAATGATAATACGACTACATTATTGCAATAATAAGACGAGGCGCTTTAGAATGTGCACATCAGTCGGTCGAGTGATTTGGTGATTACGCAGCTTATTGGGTGCCGCTCACTTTTACTGTACTCGCACATATATACATGTACATCGGTGTGTGTGTGTGTGTGTGTGTGTGTGCGTGTGTGCGTACGTATATATAGAAAGGTGCATATGTATGCGTAACTATACACGATCTTGAGCAAACGTCGCTAAGGTCAAAGACGTTTCCACTGTGCGACTGGGACGCGCCTGCTCTGGACACGTTGATTATCCGTAAGAATGATGGTCCGTAAAAATACATAACATACATACATGCATACATGTGCGACATGGTATATGCGCTGCTCCTTAAATCCTTGCAAAATAAAAGGGCATGCATGCGTGAATATGTTGAAAGTGAACAAATATAAACAAATATACATATATGTATGTATGTTAATTGATTGTGATTGGTTGTCACGATGGGCATCAAAGCAACTAAATCAAGTAATTAGACTTTGATTCCATTCGCTGCGTGACATTCAGGCTGTAAAATTCATAATACAACCATTTTTTATTCACATTTCTGTTTGCGTTTGATTCGTTGTTTTTATACATACCGATAAATACTAAATACATATGCATATATGTAAATACATCGATATATACATATGCACATAATTAATGGCACATGCCCTAATTTTGTCAAGCACGTTTCGGCCGACAGCGAAACCATAAGAAGGCTATATATATATATATGGGGCATATTTCAAATGGACCCAGACAGAATACAGGAAGCTTTGACATCCATGGTCTGTTGTAGATAATGTAGACAAAATTGAAATTAACACATGAAATTCGGAGTGCATTTATACACACACATGTCCATTTACATACACATATATATGCATACATATGTAACAATTCGTTTACACACATACATACACTCTATGTAGCGGCATTCGCCTAATATACGTTAATTGTCAATTCTTCCATATACATACACACATACATGCACATGTATATACGCATACATGCGTACATATGGACATACACGCGGCGATTTACATACCCTTGAAACTGAACTCTCCAGCTGCTCCCTGTTGTTATCCCTGAGAATCTTGAGAGCGCACTTTCAATTAAACTTTACCGCACGGTTAGCACACGCTTGAAAAAATAAAAGCAGTTGAAATAATACAAGACGATTGATTGTAAAGTTCTACCGTGTGTAGTACAGCTATCAATATATAGTTATCACACAAATCTTATATAAATTAGCGTGGTTTTCAAATAAAAAATATTTGAACGAAGATGAAACACACAGAATTAACAAATTACTGTTTAGAATTAACAACTATATCACACACGTATGTAAGTTGGCATGCCTACATATATATATATGTATATGTATATGCATGTAATACATACATATATATTCTGTTTGGTAAGGTAGACCACCTCGTTACGATTACGTTGACTTCACTTCACAACTGTTTCTGCCCGGGAGCTCGAACACTGCGTACGGCTGGCACCAAAGCTTAACGTCCAACTGACATACGGCGTCTAAAAAACTTGAAAGTTTGCCAGTTTGCCAGTTCGCCAGTGTTGCCGGTGGCTGGTCACAGTCTCTCTGGTGTTGGGCTCTCTGTATTGCTCTCTTTCTCTTGATTTTGTGGATGGCTCTCGTAATTTCGAAGTGTGTGCGTGCGGCCAACAGGCGGCACAGGCAGCAAGGCAGGCAACAAAAACAACAAAACGTGCACTTTGTCCCAAAAATAAAAGAAAAGCAAACAAAAATTGTGTCATGTCTGTTATGAGACAGAGGCCGGGCCAAGAGAACTAGTTGAGTCTCAATTAAAAGTGTGCGGGAGCGACAGCGATAGCGAGGGAGAGCAACAGCTGTTTACCGCAAAAAGGTACTTTTTTACATACATACACATGTAAATGCATATTTACATATGTGCATATATGTATATAACATATGTGCAATCTGTATAAATGAACGTAAATGCGGATATATAAAAAAAGTTTAGTAATACGCTAATATTGCTTTCTTCATTTGCCAAATGTAAGATTTATTAATTAAAAGTCGAAGAAAACCTTACAGAAATCAATGTACATTTGCTTTACACATACGAATTAGATTTTTATACCCTGAAACAATTAAAAATGAACGAAAAGGGGGATTTTGTGCAAATGCATGTATGTGTAAAGCAAATGTATATATATATGACCAAGTCGCGTCGAGATATGCCAACTATTTAATAGTGCCCAAGTGTAATAAATTTATTATCATTACTATTGTTGTTCATTTTTTTTTTTTAAATAATTTCCACAACCATTTAAGCGATAAGAAAACCAGTCTCCAAATGTGAATTTTTGTGTTAACAGGCCTCGAAGTCTCAGATCGACAGAAACATACATTTATAGACAGGCACCCAGACTTATAGACGGACTGATTGATAAGGCGACATCGCCAGACTGACTTGGTTTTTTTGTTTTTTCAAAAAACAGACGAGCTTTAGATTATGCCAGCTTATTATGCTGATCGTGAACACACGCTTATTCTTTACACACAAAACATTTGTACACCCTGTATTTTATTGGGCACAAAAAGGCTGCAGAGAAGTTGGATAGCCTCGACTACTATCTTTTTAAATTCCAGAGAATAAACTAAATCAAATTAATTGAAATAGCTTTCGGAAAAATGGAGTTGTTTCGTAACTGTAATGTGTGGCAACTCTGACTTGGGTGCAGGGTATTTCTTAGTCGAGCCGCTTTGTTTGATTTGTAGCTGTAGTTAATCAAGAACATACCCAGTGTCCGCTAGTCGCGCCCTCTTTAATCTCTTCCCTATACTTATGTGTGTGTATTTTTTTATAGCTTGTTTCCATTGGCAATGATTATAAATAATGAAAAGAAAAACTCTCTCACATCCCCAAAGCCAGCGCTTTGGTAGATATTTAAGGCCTAATGCCTAATGAGAAACCCTGATAACCAAGCTGATAACAGAGGCAGATGTCATTGCCGAAGGTCCGCGAAAGTGCGCTCAGGCAAGTGCACGAATCAGGTTCGGTATCATCGGCACTGACCAAATATGTCATACGATTTTATATGGGACCCAGACAAGTTGTTAAACAACAATTTGCCTTAATACACGGGGCCGGTCGACGCACGCGCAAAATCACAAATTTGGCAGAGAGTATTCCTTGGCGCTACTCTTGACTTTTTAGCTCACCTACCTCGCGGTATTTGGGTAGCCAAAAGGAATTAAATATAATTTGTATTTATAAACTATAATTAATTACAATTCGAGTGCATCAATTACAATTCTTAATGCAGTTTATTGTACAAGCCCTGGCGACACCTAACTAGATTCTGAGCGCATTATAGGACACGCTGCAATTCTGATTGGATCGTGGAGCTGATTGGAAAAGAGTTAAGAGTTAATATAAACATTTATGTGGCCTAAGGTGCCTCCCTTAAGAAATCTATAAAACTGATAGATATAAAAAAGTCTAGGTTTACCTGTAGCTAGCCCGACTAAACTAATTCATTAATTTTTGGCTAGTTGCCTTCTCACCTGCGGTTGACTTCGCACGGCACGTGCCGTTAATCGAGCGGAACGTTCCGCTAGTCACGCATTTACAAAAGATAATGTTTCAGTTTAATTCACAGTTCTGCGAGTAGTTTCGAATAAAAAAAAATGTTCTTATCTAAAATAGCCTTTAACTTATCTACCTTTTGGCGTTCTGGCTTACATGTTGTCTGTTGACAGTTTTTTTTTTTTTTTTTGTACCTGTTATCATCTAGAGTTTGTGATTTATGGAAATATTCCTACCTCAATCTTTTCTAAGACTCTGTAGAATATAATTAAATATTTGCGCGCTAGACCTTGGGTCAAGTTTTATCAGATCACCTTGAAAATATTGAATTCTAGATAATCGGAACTATAAGAATAATCCAATTATAAAAAAAGTGAAACATTTTGAGCCCCAGCTTTCAAGCAGAAGTAATGATCCACAAACGGGGAAGCACTTTTTTTATATCACATTTCATGAAGGTGGATTATAGAAAAAGAGTTTACCTGAAATCTGATGTAAAAGGATGAAAAGTTCGTCAAAGAAAAATTTCTAAAAAGTGATTTTATACAACTTTATTTCCGACCTATTTAGATTTATTTATGCTTTTAGCATCGGAAATCTACCTTCTAATACCTTGAACTAATTTATGTATGTGTTTATCAGATAACAGTTTTAGTTAGTAAAGCTCAAAATAAAAAACAATCTGAAAAAATCGAGCTGCTTTTTGTACACAGTGTTAAGTGGATATAATTAAAAATATATTGGACATCTGCGCTGTGTCTATATTTATGCTTCGACAGCCCGAAAATACTGTTCCATTGGAAATAGGTAAACAGGGTAAAATGGTTTTGTGCAGCCAGAAGGAGGCATGTCCCAACCGATAAATACATATATATTTTTTTGATATACAATACGACGAGGTCTGTCCTTCTGTAAGGTTTGGAAATTCCCGTTATGTTATAGCCAAAATTGCCTTCAAAACTTGTCTATATCTCTTCCCATTTTCAAATCAACAGTATAAGCTTTTACACCAAATATGTTGTTCACATAAGGCTATATTTATGATTTGAAAAATTCATGACTTTGGGATACAGGGTATTTTGTAGTTGAGCATACTCGAGTTCAGCGTACTTACTTGCATCTTCTTATTGAGAAATTTAGACAGAATACTTTTAATAGTTTTCATTTTATTATTATTATTATTGTTTTTATAATTATTATTTTTATTATTATTATTCTTATTATTATTATTCTGTTATTTATTTACAATATTGGTTCCTCCTTGAGGACCACAGGCTCGCCATCCAGTTTTCGTATAGTCGGTAGGCGCTTGATGCACTCGGCCCTCCACGTGAGCTCATCCAAGCCCTCCGACAGAGGATTGCCGACTACCACTAGATCTTCTAGGGATTCGATTTCGGCCAGCCTATTGAACTCTGACCAGTCCTTGATTAGGTTGTTGCTTATGTAAAGCACTTTTAGGCACTTCAGAGCAGACAAGCCCTTAAGTTTTTCGATCAGGTTGTAGCTGAGCCAAAGTTCTTCCAGAGTTTCAGCCACAGCTTCCTGTTAGAAGTTTAGATCAAAGGAATTCGGATCAAATATGTTATTTTTAACAACCTACCAGTCCTGATATTTGCTTGATATAGTTCCGCGACAATGATAGGACCTTCAGAGATTTCATGCCCGAGAGACCAAAGATTTTCTCAATCATATTTGTAGACATACTAATTCTTCTGAAACATCAAGCGAATATATTATTAGATGTGATAGTTAATTAAATTAAGATATTACTCGCAGTTAACCAGAGTTCCAAGTGTATTGTCCATTTTCTCGATCGGTGGCCATTGAAACTGTAAATCAATATTTTTGGCATTCAGCGAATTTTGCTGTTCTCGGTCTTCCCATCGTTTCAATGCTTCCTTGATTGTTGTTGCCTTCGACATATTCCTCAAAATTCAACTAAATGTTGATTCCCATTACAAAACGATTCCACCCTCGAGCATTCGCTCAAACAAACTTGTGTTGCCCACAGCAACTAGCAAAAATATTGACTATCAGAAGCGCTTTCCCCTACTTCCAGTAAATACATTATAATTAAAATATAATTATAAAATATCATTATATAACATTTACCTGCTGAATACTAAAAGTCACGATCTAATAACCCAACTAGATTAAACTAATCGAAAGCAGAAAGAATGCTTTGTAATTCAATAAATAATAATTCGGTTAAACCCGAAATCGCTTTTTGATAAGCGCCTAAAGCTCGCACAGAAGTGTTTTCCACTATCCTAGATACCGAGTCGCCGAAAGATACACTTATTCGCATCCATACCAGTAATTTGTATGCTCTATTCATTGCATTCATTCCAAGGCTTCAAATATTCCAATAAAAATATATATATATTCCTGTGCAGCGTCTACGGCTTAGTCTAAGAAACGTATACCATACGCAAAACAAGTATATTTTGAATAACTGTTGACTATTGCGGTTTCTTTGCAATCGATAAATATCGATTTGTATAAGCTCTTTAAGCAAATCTCTATCTTTGAGATTCTAGTACAACTTAGTTATGTAAATCAACAATATTTGATTTATTTCTTTGGGCCCAGGTCCAAGCAAACGATCGAAATGAACATCAAATTTGTAAATATTAAACAGATCATGTTATCATAAGGTTGGTTTAGGGCGAAGCGGAAGATTCAGGGTAGTTACTAGTCGGGCACTCTTCACATTTGAATTCCGAAATGTAGAGCAAATGGTGATGACAAAGTTAGCGATTGAAGAAAGAGGCATAAAAGTGGGCAAGAAACTCCACAAGGCCGCTAAAAGGGCATTGAGCTTGGCCTCGGAACGGGTTACCGAGAAAAACGCTTTATATGAACATACTGGATAGGCCACTTTACCCTCTACACAAGTTAGTATTCCGTACTTTCACATGTCTCCACACCCATTTACTGGACAAGCAGCAAAATTAATTAATTCAAATGTTCGTAGTACACGTCCAACAAATAACTCAATCTTAACTCAATCTAAGAATTGAAAAAAAGAATTTCATTGAAGAATATGTGCGGGGTATAAATAAGAAATAGATCGAGTCTAACGAAAAAAACAGAAGCTGGGGACTTTAAGTAAATTATCGATAGCTTCCTCGATTCTCCGAAATCGATTAGGAACGATAACAGCCTGCCGCTTCATAGGCATAGATCTAATCATAATTTGTTGATTAGTTTTTGTTTATTTCAGGTTCAGTCAAGAGTCAGTCGGGATAAAAAGATTTATATAGATATGAATCAGTTTTCTGTTTACCCGTCAAATGAATGAATTGAAATTTGGTCGAGTGTTATACCTGCCCATCGTATTGGCACCTCGTTTAAATAAAAATAAATTAAATTTGATTTTGTGGAATAGATAAATATTAAAAATATTAAAAAGAAAAAAGCGAGACGTCAAAGATTAAATACCCTTATACACACAGACTTCGGACTCAACAGATATGTTCGGTGGTTTGGTTCACAGTTCGAGCCCGTGCCAATGTTTCGAATCTAACTGATTTTCCCTGAAACTGATAAAATTTAAAAAGTAAGGGAATGATGGTCACACTAAAAGATTTAACGAGGCTGATGTCGTTTTACTTGCCAGTGTGGCCGTTCTCTTCAAGGAAAATGACCCGGCACACTTGAGTTTGTATGCGAACGATATGGATACGTTCAGTTCACGTTTTAATAAATAATAAACCAACAACATGGCTTTATACCAATTTTAGCTAAACTTAATATATTAAAAACTACTTTGCAAAAAGCCATCAGTAAAAGGTTTAGAAGAATAGTTTTAACATATCCGTTCGTAATTTTGGGCTTTCGCGCCTTTTTTACTTGTGCGCTAATCAGCTGTGCGAGTAGTCTCAATTTCAGGAATCCCGCTACTGTTTTGAGGCCATAATAAATAATGAAATGTATCGATATTTGAAAAGAACATAATGAATATTATTATCGAGTGTATCGATACAAGTTCGTTCGCAGCCCAATTCGGCCGACGTAGAAGGTTTATTTGTTATAATCGTTTTGATTGGAATTGCAACGTTTATGATGTCTGCGTCAATTTTTGCCAATGTGCCTAAAGGACCGGCAATTGAAGTCTTTGCCTTAACAAGAGCTTTTCAGGATGATGCATCCACCAAAAAAGTCAACTTGTCTGTGGGTGGTATGTATGAAAAAGTATTTGTAAACTATTAAAATCATTTTTCATATGTACTTTATCATCTCATATTTATATAATTTCTTTATTCTACAATAATCTCTTTGACCTTGCCTAAGGTTTTTTGAATTCTAAATACATATTTATGTAGAACTATTCATATGTTAATGTTGAACTGGATACATGTCTATGTTTTTTGTAAACATTCGGCTATCATATTGAATTTCGCACAGTAAATTTCTTGTTCTGCCACAAATGTAAATGAATACAGTTCAAACGCACATACATACATACATATATAGTTGTGAGCTTATAAACCAAGTTGGCTTTAGGTAAAATTAGAGGACATTTGTATGTCAAATTGCGAGATGAAGTGTATTGCTCTTTACAACGGCCCATTGACACTACATATGTATGTATGTATCTTTATGAATTTGTATATGCATAACAAGTACATATGCATATATTATACATTCTGTGTGCACCTAATACTTTCACATGTGCACACATACATACACATATGCAGTTACTTAACATACGAAAACATATATATGTATGTGTTTAATCTAATGATAATAATGACAAATTGTGAATTGTACAGTATATGAATCGAGTTGATTTAAGTTTTGTATAATGGATTATGGACTATTGCCAAATACGTATGGATTTCAATTATCGTCAGATGTGTAGCATTTAAAATAAACAAAAAAAGAGAACTTTGATCAGCAACCAATAATTCATATCTTATCGATTATCAGCCACTTGTCCGCATTAAACGCACAGATATATTTTACCTCTCCATTATAATATTTTTATAGTAATTCAGGGCGGAAGAACCGAAAATTTTAATGGATCCCACTGCCGGCATTTCGTTCGGCTTTTTCTTTAGACAAAATCTATAGCGAAAATTCTCATATGCGCTAAATAATAAAAAAAATGTCCAAAGATTTTGAATGTGATTTTGATGCTAATCGCATAGTTATTAAATTAATGTCATTCACCCTTTTTCCACCAATTTAGAATTGTTGCGGCTGTAATTACCAAAATATCTGATACAAATTTCCATTAGGAATTATGTAGGGCTTTGAAAGTAAGTTTGCATCTAAAACTCAGAAGAGTCGATTGAAAAGATGCATGAAAATGATTTTAAAGCGGGCTCTTCAAAATCTCTGATATAATAAGTTAAAGACCAATCGGACAAGACTTTAAACTTCAAACTACTCTTTTGTTCGCATCTTCCTCGAAGTATGCTTGGGCTTTGCGAAAAAAGTGAAATACGTCTCAAGTGATTTATCAAAAAGATTCTTAGAAATGAATTTGAACCCGAAACTTTGCCCAGCAAATCATCAATTTATTGTAAAACTCGATAAATATATGGTAATATGATCCTCACTTGCAGCTTACAGGACGGATGCTGGTCAGCCGTGGGTACTTCCGGTTGTGCGCAAAACGGAAGTGGGAATCGCCACAGATGAGTTAATTAATCATGAGTATTTACCAGTGACAGGTGAGTTGTGCTTTCTAGCAAATAAGATAATAACTAATCATTTGTATATTTTAAGGACTGGAATCGTTCACGCGTGCAGCAACTGAATTGGTCTTGGGATCGGAATCAAAAGCATTAAAAGAGAAGCGTGTAAGTTTTCCATTTGACAACTCAATAATTCGTTAGAGTACGTCAATAGGGTTGATCAGCATCAAACACCGAGTTGATATATCTATCGATACGAGCAATAAGCTATCCTTCGTTTGGATTACATTTGTTAGTTTTAAATAAATTTATTATTTTGCAGGCTTTTGGTGTGCAAACTATATCCGGCACAGGTGCGCTGCGTGTAGCTGCTGAATTTTTACACCATCAACTGAAACGGCAAACAGTCTACTATTCCAATCCGACATGGGAGAATCATCATAAGATTTTCGCTGATACGGGCTTTACCAAATTGCATTCATATCGTTATTGGGACCAAAACAAACGCCAGCTGGATTTGGAGGGCATGCTGGCTGACTTAGACCAGGCGCCGGCAGAGTCTGTAATTATTTTGCATGCGTGCGCACACAATCCAACTGGCATGGATCCCACCCATGAGCAATGGAAACAAATTGCTGATCTGATGGAACGTAAAAAGCTTTTCCCACTGTTTGATTCAGCATACCAGGGCTTTGCTAGCGGTGATCCCGATCTGGATGCCTGGGCGATACGTTACTTTGTAGACCGCGGATTTGAGCTTTTTGTCTGCCAATCGTTCGCCAAGAATTTTGGATTGTATTGCGAGCGAGCTGGAAACTTGACGATAGTGCAGCAGAGCGGTGCTACCAGAGACATGATCCATTCGCAGCTAACGCTAATTATTCGCGGTCTCTACTCAAATCCACCAGCGTATGGGGCTCGCATTGTGTCCAAAGTATTGAATACGCCTGATCTACGCCAAGAGTGGATGGAGTCTATCAAAAGTATGTCCAGCCGTATTCGTCAGATGCGCAAACTACTGCGAGATAAACTTGTTGCGTTGGGAACTCCTGGAAACTGGGATCACATTGTCAATCAAATTGGCATGTTCTCGTACACGGGTCTTAATGAGAAACAAGTCGGTGTACTGATTAAAGATTACCATATTTACTTGCTCAAAACGGGCAGGATTAACATGTGCGGCCTCAACACGGGCAATATTGACTATGTGGCGACAGCTATTAATGCAGCTGTCACATCCACACCAGAGAATAAATTATAATTGTTTTCCGTGCGAGGCGAACGAAAAACAAACATACAATTGCAATAATTTGAAGCAGAACGTGATGGCAATTACAAATGTCTCCCAAAGTAAAGATATTGACGAGTTAATTATGCATGCATTAAAAAATAGCATTTTATAGAATTAAACAAATTGTATTAAATAGCTCAACTTAGCATTTATAGAAAATTTGTTACCACACATCCAATAAATACAAACATATATACTCACATATAAATTTATGTGTAAGAACGTCCTTCCGCTTCGTCGGTCCAAGATAAACCCATCCAGTGATGCATTAACATGGTAAGGATGGACATCCTTATCGGATGTCAAATGGCTATGCCGGACCATTATTTTTATTATTATTACAATCACCATGAGTCGACTTATAATGCTCTAATTTGTAAAATAAAGAAATTATAATTAATATTCGTTATAATATATATTTGTAATATTTGCTTAAAAGACACTGTTTTTCTAAAAATTCAACGTCCGTACACAACTTAAATAAATACAAATTTGGGATAGGTCGTGGTCAACGCAAGAAAATTAACAGAATTTAGTTTTATGATCAGCTGCGACCTTTAATGTTTTTCACATTTTGCTTAAATTTACTTTTAGTCAGCTTCAAGAGTGAACATGTCTGCACATTAGTTTTTTTTTTTTTGTTTTTGAGATTTATACGTCGCTGAAATTTGTAGCACCCTGTACTTGTATATTTTATTTCGAAAGCAAAATGTCTTAAAAAATGTCAAAGCGCGTTGTTGTTAGTAATCACAGTCTGCTCAACAGTGTTGTATAACGCGTGTGTGTTTGCAATCAACAAAAGGATTTGGCTTATGTATTTACAATGGCAGGTAATATCATTCGAAATCATTTAAAACTGTTTCACTAAGTAGAGTATAACCCAGACAAAGCGAAACCAGTTAATGACAACAGTTGCAATCCGTCAAGTTCTGCAAATGTAGATAGTGCGCCACTATTCCCACCTACCAAGGCTGGTAAACCTGCCGATTATGGCACTAACAACACGTTGGAGCTCTTGGAGCGTATTCCCAGTCAAATAGTCGATCTCAAACTGGATGAGGTGCTGACTGCCGTGAAAACAGTGGATAACCTATGCGATTACCCACGCTGCAAGACCAAAACAAGTCTAATGGGCCAAGACTGTGAGCTCTGTTCCAAGCGTTTCTGCTTCAAGCACGGCCTGCCCGAGGTGCATGGTTGCGGTTTGGAGAAAAGACGAGAGGCCCGTAAAGAATTTCTCCATCCGAAGCCATTAAAGACTATACGACAAGAAGAGGAGCTCAAGAATGCTAAAAAGAAACTTAATGAAAAGCTAAAGAATATGCAAGTCGGTCGCATGCAAAAATCAGGTGGCAGTAACAAAAAGAAAAAATAGATTTGCCTAGGTTTACCCATACAAATATAAAATGTAAATTACAAATTTCTAGTTTAATTCTCTACATAACAAGTTAAACATGCGTATTGTACATATATATATATATATATATATAATTGTACAAAATCAGCTGATTAAAGTCTACCCCTCGGTCAAGGTATTGCTCACATGGCTGTGCTCCAGACGAAACAACTCGTGAATTTTAAGAATGTTAAATTTAGTTGGATTTTACGGCGTTCTATCACGAGCTATACACAGGGACAGTCGCCCGAGCCTAGGATACGAGAATACTTCTATTACATCGATCACGATGGCATGGTGTGTAAATACAATATGTTATCATGCCTTCACTCACATCCCAATCTCGATCTTTTTCACACCTTGGCACTTTGTGGTCTTATAATATCATCTGCATGCAAAGTCGGGTACAGGGTATACTCCAGTCGGACGGCTAGAGAACTAAAGCTCAAACACCTTTCACATATTTTTTTGTTCACTTGCAGCTCTTTTTGGACGATGCCAAAATGAAAAATTTTACATCCTGTTTTAAAGAGAAGGTCTTTCTAAAATTCTTCTTCAGTCGCCTGCGACTGAATGAATCACAACGATACCAAGATTTCCCCTACATCTCGCTTTGTGGCCGAGAACGGAATTATGTGCGTTGTGATGACACGCCCATTGTGTTTACTGATCAACTGAAGAAGGACGCCTGTGAAGTCGGTGATGTTTTGACCTATGCACATGGAGGTCCAGATTTGTCGGTGCCTTTTGAACCGCAAAATCTTTATATGCACCCAAAAAGCGGGCGAGTATATCATCCAGCTTGGCCAAAAGTAGGTGGCATTGGACTTGTTCGTTCTAAATTGGCCATTGAGCTTAGCCAGAACTTCGTGTTTGCTGATGGTGATAAATCGCCAACACATTTTAATTGGCATGGAACTAAACTAAAGCTGGAAAATGAATGGATAAACAACTGTCAAAGGTTCGGCATGAATTCTCAATGCGAAAGCGCATAAAATTTCCGCACTTGTCAAACTGAGAATAAATTTAATGATTTTGTTATTGAGAGAACATACTATGTACATTACGCATATATATATTGTTACGACTATTCAATGCTCAAAGGCTTAAAATCGCCTTCTTTGACTTTAACCCATGAAAGTCCCGTGGCAGCCCCGCCTACACCACTTTCAGCAGGCACAATTGTGTTTCTACTTTTGCGTATTTGATCCAAAACTGGTCCATGTACATTTGCTTGGAACTTTTCAAATACTATATAATGCGGGTCTTCTGTTGGCGGTGTATCATATACGCGCGATTTGCTCTCCACTATACTCTCTTGGACAAGTGCTGCATATGCGTCTCGGTTGGTGTTAAGCAGCTTGCTAGCTTCTGGGTTGCTGAGTTCCTGGATATTAGCCACGCTGCGAATGCTGTCCAATGGATCGGCAAATATCGCTTGTATGTACTTCAATACCTGCCAAAGGTGGTCTTCTCCGCATCTCCATTCCGGGAACGCATGGCTGATGTCTAGACTATTTGTGTAAGGGCAAACAAGTGGATGTACAACGTTGTGTTGAAAAATAATTGCCTTATATAAAAATAATACAATGTCTATTATCAAACTCCAATATATATCTATATCCATATCAGGCACTTACTGGAACTGCTTTGTCATCTGGAAAGCCATCCGGCAACAATATTGAAAAGCGGAATACACTGTTTTCATAAAAGCCTTGTCGACCAAAAAATACTCCAAACCATTCTAAAAAATCAAAAGTAAATGTATCTATTTCTTTAATGTAGCCAAGTATGATATACTTACGCAAGGAATTGGCGTAGCTTGGAATAACATAAATGCCCGAGACCTTCTCCGATTCAATCATTTTGCTATTTGTAGTTAAACGAAGGTTGTGATTATTTGATGATGCTAAGCTTTGGTACTTTGAATTCTTACTATTCCGCCAAAATTTTATATTCCTGCTGTATTGTTGAAAGTAATAGCTTCTCATCTTTCTTTTGTGCATCAACGTCAAGAGTCATACTTATTTGTAAGCAAACAAATTTATTGTTTTTATATATTGGTCGTATTAACTTGATAATGTTTCGTACCTCGATAACTATCGTATGATTTAAATATCGATATTGTGTGTACGTTTGTATCGGTATTGCTTGTTCATATAAATGTGAACACTTTTAAGAAAATCAGTGCGATATTTAAGCACACATAGAAAACTGAACATGCTTAGCTCCCAACATCGCGAATTGCTAAATTTAAAAAATTCCCAAATTTGGGTTTCTTATATTAATGCTAACTTTTTGCTCTTCACTCATTTCAATCAAGTTTTCTGATTTTGTTATATATGATGAACAAATGATTTGAACTAGATTCGGTGAGTTCACTTAGAAACTAGTTCCCTTTCTATCAATGAATTGCAGCCCTGTACACGTTTATTTGTATTATCATAGTATGCGGTAAGTAGTATAAGGATAACTCAATCACTTAGAATTCAATTAAATATTTTAGGATTAGTATTTTACAAAAAAATGTCTTATAAGTTAGATTCAGAAGTAGTGACTATGGACGAGGACGGTCTGCGTTTCTCTCAAGATTGTAAGGGTCAAATGCCGGAAGGCATCATACATGAAAAGGAATCACCTGGTCAGGCGTCCAGCACATCTGAAAATGAAAAGGTAGTACCCGAATTCTACAACAAGGCACAAAAATATTGGTCCGAAGTGCCAGCAACAGTAAACGGTATGCTGGGCGGTCTTGGCTACATTAACGCAATTGATATACAAGGCTCGAAAATATTTCTTCGCGAGCTTAAAGTGCCGGGTAAAAAATTGGCCCTGGACTGCGGTGCCGGGATAGGACGAGTGTCATGCAACCTACTTATACCACTCTTTGAAACTGTCGACCTTGTTGAGCAAGATGCCGCCTTTGCTGAAAAGGCTCGCGAGCTGTGCACATCGGAGTCAGTTCGTCGGAATGGCTTGGGTGAAATATATAATCTCGGCCTACAAGAGTTCTCACCCACAAACAAATATGATCTTATCTGGAGCCAATGGGTTCTGGGACACCTAACAGATCCAGACCTTGTGGCTTTTTTTCGTCGCATGCGCCTCAGCTTGCAGCCAGGCGCTTACTTTTGCATAAAAGAAAATGTCAGCACCTCCAAGGAAGTGATAAAAGACGACGAGGATTCATCAGTTACTCGTCCACTAGAATTATATGAACGTTTTTTAAAAGAAGCTGGCTTTCGTGTTGCGAGAAAAGTACGGCAACAAAATTTTCCCAAAGGGCTATTTCCAGTCTATATGATTGCCTGTAAACCAAAACCATAAATTCATAATTCGGAATTCGACTCGCATTAACAACGAATTTTTTTAAAATAAATGTTAAATTAGATCCACTAGTAAGTACTATCTAAATAGATAGCTAGATATTAATTGTGGATTTTATGTTGATATGACTTCTTTCTGTATTTGCGATACTATCTTTACAATTATTAAATTCATTTTTGAATTTAATAGTTCTGGGGTCCAATCGAGCATATGTATGTAAACAATAAAGTTATCATTTCAATAAAAATACAAGAAGCTGGGACTGTTCCTTAAAAGCACAAAACATTTGTAAAAATAAATTCCATGAGGACAGTGAATGTTTTGTGGCTATGCAATTCATCGGTATACGACTGCTTCGATATTTTGCTAGCAACCCTGATTGAGTCAAACAGCTGACGCCTATGAGTTTCCATTGAGAAATAAACGTGTTGGAAGCTCGCAAGCACAGCAAAGATACCCAGCATGTCGAAGCGAATACAGCCGGCGTGGCAAGCGCCAACAACCTCAGCACGTCCTCAATTACGATTGTACAATAGTCTAACCAGACAAAAGGAGGAATTTGTACCATTGAGCGGCAACAATGTTAAGTGGTATAGCTGCGGCCCCACCGTCTACGATGCTTCGCACATGGGACATGCCAGGTGATAGCCACATCAGCAATCACAGTTTATTTACTATCTAATCTTGATATTCCCACAGATCTTATATTTCTTTTGATATTTTGCGACGCATATTGGCCAATTACTTCGGCTACAACATCCACTACGTCATGAACATCACCGATATTGACGACAAAATTATAAAGCGAGCGCGTCAGTATCATCTGTATGAGCAATATGCAAGTGGGGCTGAGCAGCTGCCTCTCGAGCAATTGTTGAACGAGCAAAAAGAGGTACTCAATCAATTGCAGGTCAAGTGCGATAAAAATACGGATCCTGATAAGAAAGTCATGCTGGAAAAGATGCTACAACGCATGATCGATGCATTGGAAGCACTAACGCAAGCTGTCAGCAGTGGCAACGCGGACGAAATAGCTAAGATGAGGTGCCACTATTTAGCCGAAGCAAAGGATCCGATTGCAGAGTGGCTAGATGGAAAGAAGGGTGCCCATGTAAATGACAATACCGTCTTTGAAGCATTGCCGCGATATTGGGAAGATCACTTTCACAATGATATGAAATCACTCAACGTGAGTCATCTACCAATTTATATATATATGTATATATATATTAATATTTATATCATTTCTTACTGCAAATAATATCAGATCTTGCCACCCGATGTATTAACGCGAGTATCGGAATATGTGCCTCAGATTGTTGCATTTATTCAACGCATTATCGATAATGGGCTCGCCTACGAAGCAAATGGTTCAGTCTATTTTGATGTGAATGGCTTTGACAAACGCGAAAAGCATCACTATGCAAAGCTTGTACCCGAAGCCTATGGCGATACAACGTCTCTACAGGAGGGCGAAGGTGATTTGTCTGTCACTGCGGATCGGCTCTCAGAGAAGCGCTCTCCAAACGATTTTGCCCTGTGGAAAGCAAGCAAGGCTGGCGAGCCTTGGTGGGACAGCCCTTGGGGACACGGTCGACCTGGCTGGCATATCGAGTGTTCCGCAATGGCATCGGATATATTTGGATCCATATTCGACATACACACTGGCGGAGTAGACTTAAAGTTCCCACATCATGACAATGAACTAGCCCAATCAGAGGCTGCATTTGGTGAGTCGGAATGGGTAAAGTATTTTCTGCACACCGGTCACCTTACAATTGCCGGCTGCAAGATGTCCAAGTCTCTTAAGAATTTTGTAACGATACAAGAGGCATTAAGAAAGCACTCAGCTACGCAGCTGCGCCTGGCCTTCTTGCTGCACTCTTGGAAGGACACGCTCGATTATTCCGAAAATACTATGGAGATGGCCACTCAGTACGAAAAGTTCCTTAATGTAAGCATAACTCAACGAAATTTGGACTACAATATATACATTTACTAACGTCCCATTGTTATAGGAATTTTTCTTGAATGTCAAAGACTTAACACGCCATGTGCTATCTGGAAAACCTATGCAACAGTTTAGTGAGTGGACTGCTGTGGAGGCGGCCTTGCAGGCAAAGTTTAACGAAGCGCAGGGTCAAGTGCATGCGGCCCTTTGTGGTATGTTTCACTGTACAAATTAATTTGGCAATCAGTAATAGCATTTTATTGTAGATAACATTGATACGCGCAGCGCCCTCGACTCAGTCCGGGAACTGGTATCAACTACGAACATATACATACGCGACAATAAGACAAGGCTTAACCACCTGTTACTCCGCAAGGTAGCCACATATATTACGGATTTGCTGCATATATTCGGAGCCATTTCAGGCCCACGCGGAGGCATTGGTTTTCCGTTGACCGGCACAGAGTCAAATAATTCAGAAATCAACGATCACGAGTCGGTGGTAATGCCATATGTTCAATCTGTGGCTGAATTCCGCAACTTCGTTCGTGAACAGGCGAAGGTGTTAAAAGCATTCGACATACTTAAACTGTGCGATGATCTGCGTGATGATGTTTTGCCCAATTTGGGTGTTCGATTGGAGGATAAGGATGGTGGAAAGTTTGCTGTCAAATTGGTTGATCGCGATATGCTATTGCGCGAACGCGAGGCCAAGCAAGCTGCTGAAGCAGAACGAGCTGCCGAAAAAGAGCGTAAAAAACAAGCTTTGGCAGAGGCTGCAGCAGCTAAGGAGTCACAACGTCGAATTGATCCGAAAAAGATGTTCCTCAGCGAAACTGAAAAGTACTCGGCATTCGGTGAAGACGTAAGTAGAATACGACTAGATACAGAATACAACTAAATCATACACATTATTTTAGGGACTTCCTACACATGACAAAGACGGCAAAGAGATTAGCAAAGGACAACTGAAGAAACTTCAAAAGCTCCAACAACAACAAGAGCAACGTTACAAGGAATATCTGGCTACTGTTAATGGAGCGTAACTACGTGTAACTGATATTATATATACAACTCGCCAGAAAAATTCAGTCTAGGTATTTATATTTTCATAACATGCTCGTTTAACATTTGCATACAATAAAATCCAAACTCTACCCGAAACTTATTGTTAATACCTATGCCCTATGGCGGTATTCGGTCCACGATCAATCTAAAACAAGCATTTTTTGTGCCGGCCGCGTTTTTATTCAACTTCATCGATTAGTGATAAATCTCGTAAGTTTATTTGCTTATTTAACTTTCTACTAGTATGATTAATTTAACATTGTCAAAAAACTTGGGAATTTGAAGAGTTTATAATTTTTATATAATCAGCTCTATTTTATTACTTATGGTAATGTTCCAAACAATAGCGCTTAGATTTGTGTCAATTGATCAAGGTATAAAGTCGACATATAAAATTAATGAACAACCAAAAGATTACTCATACTATTTTAGGGCGAGTAGAGAAAGGTTTTCAAAAAGCGAAATTGTTTTGAAATGCGTGTGCTAACAGAATTTAAATAACATATTTTAGCTTAGCAAGTCTTCTTGACTAGGTCGAAAGCCGAAAAAAAATTGTATATCTGTATAACTTCTGCATAAGATAAATGAGAATTCATTCAATATATTGTCTTTAGCCGCTATTCTTTGACATCGACGTATTCACACAGACGGGCATGGCCGAACAGACAATAGACTGCGCCTGGATATAACTTATGAATTCAGAAGTTGCGCCCATCTGCATTTTGCCTACATTTGTCGATCGCATTTGGGTGCGGGTTATATCAATGTCTCGCCGCTCTGTCGATTGCGATCATTGCAAACGTCTTAGCGAACACACCATTTAAAATGCACTCGTAACATTAAGAAAGAAGTTCATATTTATATGTATATCATCTTTGGATAAGTCTTTAGCTATTTCGTCTACAAATTATGTCCATATATGAATATGTTTGCATGATAGCGGCTTACAAGCTTCCAATATCATTGTAACGTTTCAGCTTATCTGGGAAGTTATCTCTAAAGAGAACGGGGTCAGCTCTGAACTCAACCGTGCGAAGAGGCATTCGTCCGTAGATCTTTGAGAACCGATCAATGCAAGCAGAACGTTCACGCATATGGTTCAAATCGGCTGACAACATTTCGGTATTTGTGCACTCAGGGCACTTAAACTTTTTGCGTGGAGTTACTTTGATGGGCGGATTGTTTGTAATGTTTGCCACAAGGAAGTTCATTGCGATGTCCTCACAGTTCATGTGGTCATCCACCCAGTGTTTTATATCGCCTGGCATTGCATACGTGTACATGTGGCTCCAGTATTTGTGATGAAACGCAGCCCCAGTAAGTACCATTGATATTTGATTCGTCCATTCGGATTCGTAGTGCCATCGCATCGTTGCATTATCCCATATGTGAATACGACTGGGAAATCCAACAATATGATCGGGAAATTCGCGCCACACTTCGTATCTACAAAAAATATCACACATAAGAAATCGAATATATTTATAAGTTAAATAACTACCCAAAATCAAGCTCATCACTGGTTAACATAATAATGTCGTCATCTATAGTTAGTATTGCTTCAGTTTCGATTTCAGGATAAGGATAGAATCTATTTGAAAGCTTATTCTCCCTAGTTTGTATTATCTTCAACGGCTTGGATATTGTTGGGAACGTAGATACTGCAAGGACAAAACATTATTGATTGTTAAGAATTTGCCAAGTAGAATAATATACTCACAATGTGGTGGCATCTTTTTTTGATTGTTCCAAATAACCAAAATACTTTGAAGCGATGGCACAACTGCAAGCTTCTGGATTAAGAGGAATAGACTCTCGACTCTATCATAGGTCAAAATGACAGCTGTAAACCCTTGAGACTTTGGGGCAAGCGATGTAAGAAATAGCGGATTGAAGGTTGAATGGCTATTTTGTCTAACCAAATTCCATTGTCGACTGCTGCGAGCCAGCAGAGGAAATATGCGGCTTTCAAGTATTTCCAGCGCAGTTATTGTAATGCTCTTCAAGTCCTTGAAATAATTGCTGTACAGCCATTGAACTTGCTTTTGCATTTCAACAACTTTTACATTGGAAATTGACTCCAATT